GACCCGAAAAGTTATCAGGTCAAGGGTCAACCCGATCAACGGCTATAAACCCGGTCAATATTTGTTAAAAAATAAATATAATATGTGTTTGATTATTAGTGTTATTGAATGTGTAAAGGGAAAAACATTATGATTCATAAATTAATGATGACATTAAATATCATAAGCTTATAAAACAGAAGAGTAGTTGATCTAAACTATTAACTAGGGGTGTAAACGAGCCGAGCCGAGCCCGAACTCACATATGCTCGAACTCGAGCTCGAAAATATTTTATATGCTCGAGTTCGGCTCGAGCTCGATCGAGCTTAAATATTGAAACTCGAGTTCGACTCGAAAGCTTTGCTTAAAGCTCGCGAGCCGCTCGAGATCAACTCGTAAGCTTAGGCATTTGTTGCAATCTTCGAGAATGTGCCGGCGTGAAGCTCGCTTGGTGCTGCATAAAAACTAGGGAGATGAGGTGATTTGTAGATGGATGTGAGAGCAAACAACTCCTCACTTTCCGGTGTGGGAAGTATAAGAGCTATAAATGAAAAACAAATGGAGGAATCAGACCTAAGGAGTACAAAATCCTACCAGCGAAGGGATTCGAACCCAGGTTTGGTAGGGTTAGCATAGCATTCAAACTCCACCTCACCTACTTGCCCGTTTGTTCAAAATTTGATGACAAACTATACTTAACCTCATTCCCAGTGAGCAAATGAAAAAACTAATACTTATTTATAGAATATTACGATTATCACATAGATAATAGTTATAATAATAAATAATGTTATATTTAATTATTTATATTATACTATAATAATTATAAAAATTGAGTAACCCTAAATTAGAATAACTATTCCAAAAATATTATATACGTAGTATATAACTATTATACATTATACATAATATATCTATATACACATACATCAAAGCTCGCGAGCCACGAGCCTAAAATAAAGAGGCTTGACTCGAGCTTGTTTAATAAACGAGCCGAGCCGAACTCGAGCCGAACATGGATATGACCGAACTCGAGTCGAGTTTTTCTCGAGCGATCCACGAGCGGCTCACGAACGGCTTGGCTCGTTTGCACCCCTACTATTAACTATACATAGTTTTTGATAAAATTCAAAATGCATCTAGAGTTAGATAAACAATAAAGACAAATCTTCATGTCAGACCGACCTGACGGGATGCTCCGTCCGGCCGAGCCCGTTTGGGCAATTTCCCGGTGGAATTTTTTGATGAATTTTTTTGAGCATGTTCCTCATCAAGTCTAGTTTGTTCATACCAAATTTCAACTCAAACTTCGATCGGGAAGGCATTCAAATCATTTTTTGAAGTTGACTGCGTCTAAGTATACATATAAAACTCAGGGCCGGCCCTTGGAGGGAGTGAGCAGTCCGACCGCACCGGGCCCGAAAAAATGAAGGGCCCAAAAAAAAAATTAGTATTAGTATTAGTAGTAGTCTAGTGCTCTGCATTTTTATTGGCCCAATTAATTAGCCTAGCAAAATTACAAGTTTTAATTTAACACAACTTATCAGTATTTTTTACTATTATCATTTTTATTTATGTTTTATTTTTATTTGCGTAAGAAAGGAAGGCCAAAATTTTATTCTTGCACAGGGCCTCCGTTTTCTCAAGACCGGCCCTGATAAAACTGCAGTCAACTTCAAAAAATGATTTGAATGCCTTCCCGATCGAATTTTGAGCTGAAATTTGGTATGGACAAACTAGACTTGATGAGGAACATGCTCAAAAAATTTCATCAAAAAATTTCACCGGGAAGGTGCCCAAACGGGCTCGGCCGGACTGAGCATCCCGTCAGGCCGGCCTAACAAGAAGACCACTCAAACAATAAATATGAATATAACATGTATTACAAATCATTAAAAAGTGGTATAAGTGTTTGAAAAAAAATATGGCATAAGTATGTTTACTTATATATGGAATGATACACACACGTACACTGACACACACACATAATCAAACAATTTATTACTCCATTTTAATATTAGTTATTACTCCCTCCGTCCCGCTAACAATGAGAAGAGAAGAGAAGAGTTGCACGCAAACCAATAAAAAGTAGTTTATATGATTAATATTGAATTGACAAAGTGAGAATAAAGTAAGAATGCTTTAGAGTCACATAAATTTTACCAAATTTCGTATGACACAATCTTAGTGGGGCGGACCGAAAAGATAAAATAAGATCATTTTAGCGGGACGGAAGGAATACTATTATTTATTAAAAGGGAATAATAGCCTTTACATTGAAGTTTACAGTAAAAAAACCTTTACATTGAAGTTATAACTATTAATAAAGAGCTAACGTAACATACCAGCTACTATGCCCGAACTGGAATCACTTTGGTTACTGCCAGAGCGAGCAGGGATTGATCCCTCCCTAGGGAGAAATTTTTACTTCGGGTTGTCGAGGTAAATTCGAGTTCCGGGTTGGAATTCCGGTAGCATCAGTGGTTGTAGCCGACGGGCTGGGCACGGTGGCAAGGGGTAGGCTCAAGCACGGGCTTGGTGGCAAGGATTGGACTCGGTGTCGGGCTCGAGTTCGAGCGGGGTATGGTGGCAGGGGTCGGGCTCGGGATCTGCATGGTGGCATGGTGGACGGATTGGGCAAGGGGCCGAGCTCGGGCTGGGCATGGTGGCTGAGATTGGGTTGGGGATCGGGCTAGCCTAACCTAGTGTTTTAACTAGGTTAAAAGATTGGGTTGGGCATGTAAAAAATTGTCCAAAAGATTCTTTGTACTGGTTTAGCCTAGCCTAGTGTTCTAACCACACCATTGGTTTTGCGGGTTGGGATACAAGTGCAATTTGTTCAAGTTTGGGATGGGTCCCACGACCTATCTAGTCCGTCCCTGGTCCAGATTATTTAATTCTTATACATTTTTAAACCTCATCACCCCCTCCTTAACCTTCTATAGCTTTTAAATGCATTTACACTTCTTTAAAATGTTGTCAATGCTTAAAATGCATTAAAAAAAAACTTAAGTGAGACCGGATCGACCTATCTTGGACCCAAAAATCACAGCCCAATACTGTTACTCGTGAACTACCCTTGGGGCCGGTCTCCTAACCGAACCAGGCAACTGGTCCCGAATGGTGAACAAGTCCACCCATAGAGCGCACCATGGACATCAATTTATCATTCATGTTCCATTTGTATGTTTTTTTTATTTGGGTTTGACTACCAAATAAAACACATGTTATGTTTCAATTTTGATCGATTCCCTTTACTTCTGTTCAACTTAGATTTTTTATTGTTTTTTAAAAATATTAAGATTGAATTTGCTAATTCGGTATGATATTATTGTATTTGTCATGATTTTAGTTCTGTTTAATATGGTTCGATTTCGAATTAATTTAATTAGTTCAGCTTAGTCCGATTCAATTCGACCCATCCAAATTTATATGTCCTCTTGTATAAATGAAATGATGGTAATTAATTGAAATAAACAAATAAAATTACTTCAGTAGATATTAATATACTAGCATATCGTATATTTTTGTAATCAATGATGGTAAAAATTGGTCAATCGCTTTAACTAATACGTGGCATGTCGTATATTTTTGTGAAATTTATAATTTTATACTTTTATGGTACTCTCAATGCCGATAAAACTTGATCAATTTGACTTTTCTTGATCAATGATAAAAAAAAAGTTTATACAATGATTTTAGTTATTATATTTGTGAAACTTATAACTATTCCACTTTCAGGGTACTTTTAACAAAGAAAATTTTAATACTCCGTACAATTTTCATTTTTGAAATAGTTTCATATTAACAAATATCATCAATCAAACTTAACCATCGTTGACTAAGAGAATTTAGTATGATCAAGTTTTACGAGACGAAGGGGGTAATATTTACAAATTTACATCAAAGAAAATTTTGAATATAAAACACATTTCAATTATGCATGTATATATATGTGCATGAATGGGATGCATGACATGCATGTAGCCATGCAGGTGCTCAGGTACGGCATTTGTGAGGATTGAGGCTCAATGGAAGTACCTGCAAACAATACTGGAGAAAGCATGCCAAACTCTTTCCGGCGAGGACAATGTGGGGCCTAAAGCGGTACCATCTGGGCCCTATAAGCTCGAAATCGCGAGCCATTAGCATCCTCGTCCACCCCCTCACAGAGTCACAGTCATCACCAACAGCCTGGCAGCATGAGGCATTTTGTAGGGTTTTTCGGTATTCCAAGATCTCAACATCTACAACGGCGGACACGAAAACATCCATCTCGATCTTCAGTAGCAAAGCAATATCGATGGGTCATCTTCTTCACTGGATGGGTTTTTGTGCAACAACGTTGACAATAATTTGTGCTCTGATTTTAGTGGACCGACTCGGGGGGGGGGGGGGGGGGGGGGGTTAACAGGCGGGTTACGGTGAACCAGGACCGGACCCCAACCGGGGCTCGACCCAGGGGGTTTAACAAGCGGGCTACGGGCTCTGATTTTAGTGGACCGACCGGTCCAAGATGGACCCGATCCAGGCCCAATATTTGTTAAAATATTTTGGCATTGGGCCGCCGGCTGGGTGAGTGGGGCTGGGTGATTGGAATTAATTCGAAAATACCCAAAAAAAAATAATTTCAGCCCGACCCGGCCTAGCCCAGTCCCAATACTAACCCGGGCCGGTACCGGGCCTGAATATTTTGGACCTGGAGCCCGGCCCCGTCCCGGTCCATGCCTAGATAGTGCTTAAGTATTCAAATCTCGAACTTTCGTTTCAAAAATTCAAATGAGAAGTTCAAGTTAAAGCTTCAAGATGAACTTCAATTTATATTTCCAATTTCTATTTTCAAAATGCATGGTTTGTAGCAAAGCTGGAGCATAGCAGTAAAGTAGATGTCCCGATCGATCTGTATCAAACTTATTTTAATACCCCAATGTTTGCGTACTCCACAGTGGGTTGAAAATTAGGTAGCATCCAACATTTTTGGTAAGATTTCAAGAAACAGCGGGTAATAACTTTTGATTCAATGTAACTGACTTTCAAGCAGTGTAACAGATGAACATTCAATGAGATACTTCGACAAAAACAAGTAGTAACTCAAACAATTAACTTTTGATTCTCGTTCTCCACAATATAAACTGATAAAGTGAAAAAGATAACTACGAGAAGTACATGACTACATGATATGTAGTTCATCTACCACAGTTTGGACTTACAAGGGAGCTAAATTTTGGCCAAAAAATAAATGAATGATCAATCTTTACATTTTCCCTTTTTAAATACTGTCCTTTTAGATAAAACAAAAACATTTCTTTCACATTGTTCGCTAATGACTAAGAAAGTACACTAAATTCTCAATGTGCAGGCAGTGCAGCTAATACATGGAAGAATCTCTTCTCTTAAAGGCAGTTCACATATGCAGTGTGATGTTATTACCAGGCTACCAGCAGTAAGTTGAACCACCTATAATGAAAGTGCCATAAAAACTCTACGTCTCTACACCAGGCCTGTAGAGAAATTTCTTGTTTTTCCATTACTTCTCGGTCCAAATTATCACTTCAAGTCTGCATATTCAGGGTTATAAACGTTTCCCATCAAATATATGCACCTATCTATATATGTTCTGAAAATTAGAAGCCTGAGAGTGAGTGAGATATTACCCCTTCCTGGACGAAAGAAGTATACATCTTGCATTCCATAGTTCAACTGCCGGAAGACATAGCTTCCTCAATTCTTTTAATAATCACACTCAGACTCTGCCCACCCTCCATAGCTTGAAATGCAGCTCGGTGTGCATGTTTATGCCATTTCAACAGATTATAGGATTGCATTACTGACCATCTAGCTTGATTTGACATCTGTATAACAAATCACTGCCATTAGAATTCCAAATATGTAACGAGCTCATTAAAAAATAAAGTAATAACCATTCTGGTTTCTTTAAAGCTTATCATGGCTTAGATGTGTTTTAGTCCCAGTAAATGTAGATAGCATTTCCAAATGGAGATTTTTCCAAAGTTAGAGAATCACTAAAATAAAAATAGCATATATTGGAGGTATGAAAAAAAATCCACGGATCTAAAAACAAAGATGTTATATTTGCAGAAGGGAAAACTGTCAATTTGGTTCTCGTAATTTCACGAAAAAGTCAATTAGATCCTCGTAATTTTAAAAAGACCAATCAAATCCCTGAACTTTGTATAAACGTTCAACTGAGTCTATTTGCATATTACTTGCCATGTCAACAGACCCACCCACTGACGTAGCGCACATGTGCCAGCCCAATCAACAATAATTTTGCTGACGTGGCACACATGTGGAAGTCCGGCCAGCCATTTGCTGATGACATGGTGTACCGTGGACCGCCATGTGTGCGCCACATCAACGGGTGACCTGCTGACATGGCAAGTAACCTGCAAATGTACTCAATTGAACGTTTTTGCAAAATTCGGAGATTTAATTGGTTTTTAAAAATAGTACGAGGACCTAATTGACTTTTTCATGAAAGTATGAGGACAAAATTGACAGTTTTCCCTAATTAGAATTATATTTAGAAATAATTCCAAATATATAACCAAAATAAGAGTAATAGACAAAAATGTGACTAATAACTTTAGTGACTAATTGTATTCAAATGTTCATAGTAGTCACGGCGCACGGCGACCGCCATGGCGCGGGGGTAATTTCACGCGGCGATGGCGATGGCGCTAAAATGGCGCTATAATGGCGCTCCAGTAAAGCACAACATCAAAAAAGTTTAAACATAACCTATAGACGATATATGCGTATGACTTAATCACCAATTAAAGATTTAAATTGTTAAATAACCAAAATAATATAAAAAATAATCCACTGTTAAAAAATTGTTAAGTTGTCAAATTAAATAACTTATATGGTCTAACGAACCATCCAGCCAACTGGCGCACAAAAAATGAGAGGAAGTGAGAAACAGAGAACGAATTTTAACTTTACCAAAAAAAAGAAAGGTTTTAGCGAAGAAGTAAAACTGCGAAGCAAGGAGTCTGCGACTCTGCGTCCATGACATGCGATTACCGTCGCCGACCAGTTTCAGCAAGAATCGACGGCCACGCGACCAGCTACAGAGACGATGACGGTGACGCGACCAGCTACATAGACGACAACAGCGACCAGCTACAGTGACTGCGACTATCTCACGGAAGTCGCGACCCAAACGATGGGGCTCTACTGTAACGCGATCCAGAACACAGATTAACGCCAATATTTGGCGCAAAATGGCAAGAGCGAGGCGATGGCGCACATTTGGCAACGCAACCTGTAACATGTGCGCAATGGCCAAAAATAGTGGCGAGGACCCCCAGAATCGCCAAAGGCGAGAAATGGCGATCGCCAACTGCGCCATTGACTACTATGCAAATGTTACATCGTAGTGACTATAAAACTTATTCATAGTAACGTATAATCACATTTTTGTCTATAGTTTTTTATTAGCAATATTTTAGGAAAAAACTCATTTATTTAAGAATATAATAGTTTTAGAAAACTTCATTTATGAAATCTCAGAGTATTATACATAAGATCCTCTATACCTATGTAGAAAATAATTCCAATAAAAACCTGTTTTCTTCTCTTTTTGTTTGCCCGTCAAAGTGACCTTTGAAATTTACCTGAGCAACAGATAGTGGTGGATCTAAAAGAATACAGGTGCTTCTGAATAAATTCTCATCATTTTCTCCACCCTCTGCTTCTCCGTACACAAGAGCCTCAGCGGCAATCCCAGCAAAAAGAACCATGCAATACCTGGCAAATATGTCACAAAAGGAAAAAGATACAACGTATTATTCTCCATTCGAAAACAATTGGTTACTATTCCACAACATCCCAAGCAACCCAAGTATCTACCTACTCCTAAATGAAACCAACGAAGAACACATAATACAAAAGACCAGAATGCAAAACCTGTTACTCCAGGCTCCCCCCAGCCCCCTCCTTCAGACCCCCCTGGAGTAAAAAACAAAACAAAAAAAAAGCAAAACCTGTCAAAAGCAGTTCTACTCAACCGGCCTTCAGCGAGCTCATTCTCAAGTTTGTCATCCCAGAACTGTGTTCCAGCCTGAAAGGAATAAATGGAGTAATACATGTGCAGCCACAATGAGACTACAGAAGCAGTAGAATCAAGTACACTGAAACACAATTGCTATTCAAATGAACTGAGAGCCTGAGTACACAACATCCAAAACTTTTTAGTCAATTTACTGCACCCTCAAACTGAATTTATTTCTCTTCCTTTTTCCTCTTTTTTTGTTTCAACCCTGATATCTTAGGTCAATGCATGTTAGCCAATCCCAAACTCTTTAGGGAATAAAGCTAGGATGTTGTTCTCGGTGTAGTCAATTTACTGCAAGTATTGAATTCCATTAAGTCTTTCTTTTATATGTCAGAAATGCAAGGGAACGTACTTGTTGGGGTAATGCCCCTCGCCCCTCGGCTTGACTACCATCTTCGAGATAGGCTAGCAATAAGATGAACTTGGAGTTTGTCCGGGCCAAAGTCAGAAATCCGGGGCCATTATACATGTCCGATCTTCCTAGCCTATCTCACACATTGTAGCCTAACCCAGGATGTTAGCCCAGCACATAAAAATCCTAGATAATCAATCACTTCATAGAATAGCCAATTATTAAGGTATTAAAAATCAAATAAGAATAAAACCAGCCACTATCAGTCTTCACTCTTCTCAATGTTCTACTTCATCTTTTACCTTTCCATAATCTTACAATATAGCATGCATCAGAGATACAGAGAAAGCTTAAATCTACCCCTATCCCGATAACTGTCGAAGGGTTGTTTCTATGACATGTGTCAATGCGTATCATATTAAAAATATATGGAAAAGATAAAGCAGAATAAGAAATACCTGGCCTTGGATTCCCATCTGCATCGCCACAATGGGGTCTAAAATAACACCACGGATTGGGCAGCCCATGAGGTAAGCTACAAGATAGTAGTAGAATGTATTGATGATAGTATGATATTACGAGAGCAACTTTAATTCCACCGAGACGCAAAATTAACAGCAATAACGGATAGAACATGCAAGGTAATGAAAAGGCGGGCTGGATTTAAATACTCCCTCCACCCTTCCAAACTTTGCAATGTTTGAGAGCAAGTGGAATAAGAAAGTAAAATTTGTGTGGTTGAGGCTTATGCAGATGGGGGAAATAATAAGAACTACAAATTACTTACTTCATAGTGAAAGTGACAGTTTTTTGTAGGACCAAGTACGGAAATTTGGCAAAGTTTAGTGGGACATAAGTAGTACCACATAAGAATGCACTATGTCCCCATATACTATCTCATGTACGAATGGACTGGAATGGTGATTTTCAGAACACATCAATGCAATAAACGCTCGTGTGTCGACAGGATAAAATGAAAAAAGAATTACCTACAAGTAGATGGCCAGCTTCATGAACTAGGATTCGGCGCCTATAAGGTGGCCAGTAGCTTGAGACCTGCGCTAAGCAAGAACCTCCAAGAAATTTAGCATCAAGCACCGTCAAGCCCAGTACTGCGGTAATGTTAGGTCTGATGTCCATTCCCTGATTTACCATAAAAGAGATTCCAGCAAGCAATGCAATCAAAATAAGGCTAGAGCTTCCTGAAAGACCCCACTTTTTGGGTGAAAGTTTTGTCACTGAAAACACAAAGAATGGAACAAAAAAATTACTAGCCAAACTGTGAATATTTTATTTGAATGTGGGTTAAGATAACATGAAGGCATATAATTGATGAGTTTCTGCAACTAAACAATGTAAATCATGCAGTTAAGATTCTTGAAACATTCCAATGATTTTCTTATGACCAATGCTTCATATAAATGTGAATATTTGTTCTTCAATTCAATTTAGATTGTAGAATGTGACTTAATAGATGGCACATTAAACACAAAACACCTCAACACTTCTATGTCACCTCAACTTAATAGAGCACTACTCTTAGTTCTCTGAGATTGTACCATCTTTGAATAATTCCATTTTTTCGCTAGACTATTGTGACAAGGACATTTTTGTACCCGTCCTTGAACGTTTCACTTTGAGTAGAGGCCTACTATGAGTTTTAGACAATGCCAAAGTGTCACTGTCATAATAATCAAAAGTATAAAGTGGACAAACTCAAAGATGGGTAGCAAAAGTGTGTCTTTCACAATAAGAGACTACAATTGGAAAATTTAAAGACCAAAAATGTCACACAATTGATAGAGTTGGAAATAGAAAAAACCATTAACATGTTTTATTATCTTTAATTAGAGCTTGTGGTCCTATATTAAAATGGAGTAGCAGATATGTACTGACCATCTAAACCAGTCAAAGACTTCAATAATGATGGTGTTACATCTCGTGTGCCTTCCAGAACTGCATAGTTTGCAAACTTCTTTTAGTTGTATACAATAGTAGATAGAGAAATGGTAGGCAGTAGGCATAGCAATCTTTAGTGAAAAATTGGGCAAAAACTCGCATACTCGGTAACATTTAAATGGCGCTAGTCTCGCCCAACAAATGTTTTCATATGTAAGTCATGCGTTGGAAGTATAAATTCCCATTATCTTTGAATTAAATGGTCATCCTTAAAGAGATCATTACTGTCAGAACAAGTGTCGAAATCAGAATTGGATTGGGGTCCATCAATTGGGACATAAATACCTTGAGGCTAACTAAACTAAAAGATTGAGAGCAGTCTATTAGCTAGTTCAACGCAATACTCTATAAGTTCATACTCCCTTTGTTCCATTTCGGTTTAGGATGGTTAACTCTTATATGATAATACATGCATACACACACATATACTATGTATATGTGTGTATAGTGTATATATATCTGCATAATTAATAGACACCATCTTTGGTTACATAGTCCTTTTCCGTCCAAGAATCCGTCAAACCTGTAACATTTTAAGGCATTCCAATTAACGTTGTCATTCGCTGCTCTTTTCAATCGCAGACGCCTCTTCAACATAAATATTTGGTTATCAAAACCCCCCGCAACCGCCCGTGAAGGTTATTACTCTTCATTCAAAAGGGATAGTTGGGTCTGTTTCCACCCTTTTCATCCTTCTCCGCACGAATGGACAGGTATTCTTTTAACTTCATCTACTTCTTCAGATGCATAAATTCTCATTTCGTATAACGTCGTTCCCTTTTCAAGTCATCTATCTACACCTTTCACAAATACAAAAGACCTGCACATGAATTCATTTTTTGCACTGCATTCTTTATTAAAATCATGCACAACGAGGATTTCAGAAATCCTCTAAGCCTAGGTTCACTGGTATTTACCCTTGTTTAAATGTTGCTACAAAGGAACAATCTGCTGCTTCAAAAAGGTCACCTTCTTCTTCTTACTTTTTAAAAAAACTGGGTACACGCCTACAAATTGTTTGACAAAAAGCCTCAACAATAGTTCACATAACAAATCTGGTTTCACACAACAATCTTTGCAAAACTGGTTACTTTCTGTAATACATACTTCTTATGAACACAAATTCAATCATACAATGACTTCAATAGTATTAGTTAAGATTTACACTTAAGAATACTGTGCCCAAATGTAGAAAGAATATATTTTGCTTACTGTGAAAATATTAGTAATTACACATGTTTACTTAATTGATTTATATAAATATAGAAAATATCTTCTTGCATAGAATGTGCAGATTAAAGAGTAATATGGTATTTTGTTCAAGAGTAATATGATATTCCAGAATTTGGAAGAAAAAATAAATACTAAATTACAACATTGTGTATATTAGGCAATAGGTAGGAATTACCATTTTATATTGCCTATCAAAATATCCATTTTATATGTTAACAACATACTAATTATAGCATTTCTTTTGGTGTGATTGTAATCAAGATTAATCAATATAGAATCTATGAAGACAAGCATACTTAAGCTTTTATTTTGCATCCATCTTTAATAAAAATATACAAAGAAGTTAGCATTTTTGCCTTTTCCAATTATTTTTGGTAGCAGGGATTGAAACTTCTAGGAAGTTCCTTGTGGACTGAAACTTTAATCTCATTCATTGCTTTCTTTTAGAACAAGTTTCCATTTTGCTTTTGGGCTTGAACTCATTCATCCAAAATATATTAGTCATGAATTATGTGTAATTATGGCTTTCTAAAAAAAAATGGTGTTAAAGAATAACAATGTTTTAGTGACTCAAATTTCAGTGTGAATAGTTCATAGTGGAAAAATAAACATCGAAGCAGCAAAACAAGGCTATAAGGACCATAATACATTGGTACCTATCAATATGTATAGAAACACTTTCTCCCTCAAGAACAACACTCAAATTTTTCCTTTCTAAAAACCCAGTCAAAATTCTTAACTACTTGAAGCAGAGATTATTTGGTGTCTAAAAAACAATTATGCATACGGCATACCTTAAACCTGGTGAAGATATAAAGCAGAATGTACCTATGTGTTGTTATGTACGAAGTCATCTGAAAACTTAGTCACATATACTTCTATTTAAAAATATAGTGTGTAACATAAGTGAAAAAGAGCTGATGAACACTTCCTATTGCTACTTCCTTTTTCTAATTCTATTTTGGATAAAAAGCAGGGAATGTAGGGAATGTTCATGAGTACACATTAAGATATTCTACTACTAATAATTCTTCAATAGAAAGGTGGGAACTTGGTTACTTTTCAATCTATCATAAAGTGTATCCTCAACAAAGAAGATCTGACTTTAAGAAATATGAGCACTTTGATGATAAAAATATTCTACAGTAATTCTAAAACCTGTAATGTTTCTCTACTATGAAAGAACATAAAAAATGGAGTTCAGGCTGGCCAATATATACTTCTTATCAACATTTGGAGTTTTAAATGTAAATAACGTTGTAATTATAATCAAATGTAAATCTGCCTAAGACAACATGTATGGCGTAGGATTCTGATAGGGACCTACCTATTAGAATAATATTAGAAGTAATAATAATAATATTAGTAATAAGGGTCTCTAGTATAAATAGATGTAAAATGGGAGTAATGAGGAGGCTTTTGGACTGTTTGTCTTGGGACTTGGGAAGACTGAGACTAATAATCTCTTTCTTTGGGAGCTTCGGCTTTTGGGGGCTTCGGCCATCGTTTTCTGTACTGTTCATCTTCTTCTCTAATAAAATCAGTTTGATTTCTTGTTCTCTTTCTGTAATTTGTTGTGGAATTCTGGAGGTTTCTATCATTGGTATCAGAGCCATCGATCTTGTTACGTGTAGACCTAAACATGGTAGGAACAATGGAAAATTGGGAGCACACGATGGAAAAGATGTGCAAACAAAACAGGAGGTTTTGCGACACTATGCGCGAACAAAGCAAGCAGTTTTGCGAAGAGATGAGCAAATTAACCTTGCAAATAAACAATCGGCACTCGCAAGGAAGATCGAGGACCAAGTCGCAGAAGGAATCGCAGAAGGAGTTGCGAAAGTCGCAGACGGAGTCGCAGAAGAATTCTCACCATACGCAGAATTCCTCATCGCAGTCCAAATCGCGAACCTCTTCTCATATGTCACAATCGCGTACAGTTTCTCACCAGGCGCAGAATTTTTCACATCATTCTTCGCAGAGTTCTTCCCATCGATCTGAGCATAACTCTTCCCATCACTCTTCGCATAGCTCTTCTCGTCATACTTCGCATCATCATTCGCGAAGGTCATCTAATTCAGAGGAATCGGAAGAGAATTTTGACTACTCTCCTACGCATCGCAACTCTCATCATCGACACTCAGATTGGAGAAATCGGAAGAGCATAAGCTTCGCAGAGGGACTGGAGAACGATCGAGGAAGTCTAGGCCTGTTCGGATATTTGACACACTAAAGTCGTCGCAGTCGCTTAACCATCGGAAGACTGAGTCGGGAACTTCGATCAACTTGCCTAAGGAGGCATCACGATCAGAAAAAGAATCTTCTGATTCGCCAGTTTGGTCACAAACTATTTCTGAACCTGCGCAAGGTTTTTTCCAGTCAATAAAGGAGATGGAGATGGAGACAAATAAATCTGTATTCCAGAAAATGAATGACAAGGAAGAAATCGAAGATCTAAGACAGGTTATCCAATGGCCAGATTATGTTTCTCCTAATTTTGCAAACAATGTGGATTTAAATTCCCTAGAACAAAAGAGATATGGTCCAGTTGTTCTTGAGGATCATGTTTATCATCCTTCTGGGGGATCATATGCTAATGTTCAAATTGGGGCATTGACTTCACATGGAAGTTCACCAACTTGTATGAATGTTATGAGTGGAGGAAGACTGGTTATGGATGATAAAGAGGCTGAAACAGCAGTGTACAATAAAAAATTGACTATGGGAATGCACTCTTCTAGTATGTTTAAAGCAATTTTCAAAAGACAGGTTGATGAGGGACTATCAGCTCCTTATAATTCGAAGGATCATCAAGAATATGCTCCAGTTGTTTCTTCTGCTATTGTGCATCTGAGTGGGAAGGGTCCAATTAGTTGTGACTCATCTAACAACTTAGGGGTGGATTATGTGACAGGAGAGCTCAGAACTACAGGTTATATCAATGAGAAAACGGCAGGAAGTTATGTGGAACAAGATATTGAAGTTAAGGAACAGGTGAAAGTGAAACAAGGCTTGAAAATAGCAATGTTGACTTCTGGTGAAGAATCTGCTTACCTGCTAGGACACCAACTCTGGAAATTTTACTTGGAAAATAGTCTTTCTTGTTCCTTGGTTAAATGCTTGCTAAAGCCTTTTGGACCTTCCTTTTCAAATGAGGTAGGTAAAGAATTAACAGAGGAAAAAGTTGATAGGAACAAAAAAGATTTTGCAGCCAATACTGTACTACTCTCAGAAGATAGAAACTATGAGGAGTGCATAATAGTAATGAATTAATTTCTGCTATGGAAGGCTGGAAGCAGTCTGAACCAAATGAAACTGTTACCTATGCTGACTTGAAATTGAATCCAAATGCTTTGTCTTCTGGCTTGAGTTCTTGGTCCAATTTTCGGAAAGAAAAGGCTCCTTATTACTCAGGTTGGAGTAAGAATGCATACCAAGATGGTGGATATTGCTATGTGATGGTGGGCAATGATCAATGTATCTCAAGAGTTTCATCTCTGAGTTGTTCTATTAGTAAGGGGTTGGGAGTAGGATTGACTGAGAGTGATATGATAATGGTTAGAGAAATGCCAGTGGTCTGTTTACTTGTTCCAGATGGGGGTGGAGTTGGTGACTACCAGTTTCAGTTGGCTACTGTGAATGCTGCAATATCAAGGAATGAAGCAACTGAAGCTCAAGGGTTTGAGTTATATCCTGTAGTAAGAGCTATTAGCAGGTGCTGTTTTTCATTAAAATACTTGATATTTTCAATTCATTCATACCATAAGAATTGGTGCTGGTACAACTCTCTTTGACTTGGACGTTAGTACACATTCAAAAACAATACATAGTCTTATTTAGGAACATCACGTATTCACGTTTGTCTAATCATACAACTTCTATCCATGAACATAGCATTTTGAGGATCTTAAGTGAGACTTCAGCATATTTTTTAGCTTTCCATTGCACTCTTACCCATTTTGGTTTCTTAAACTTAAGTCATTCTTTCATTCTTGCTTTACAATTTACAAATGCAACTACACATATTATAGGAATGACTCAGCAGTAATGGACCAATGGTTAATACTAAAGATCTCCCTTACAGCATAGTAGATGCATAAGTGGAGAAAGAGAAGTCCACAATAGCAAGCACAAAAGGGAACATTGTTATAAAGCCAGTAAAGAGCAATCTGAGCATTAAAAATCAAAATAAAACAACATGCGCAGAGGAAACAACAACAATAAAAATAAAGCTGAAAGATTGATGTGAGATTCTAAGAGTATTTCATGGTCCTGAAAAAATCTAAAGAGCCATCCAAGTGAAAACATCTAAATTGTTAAAAGAAATGTACCATTTGAAGCTGAAATAAAACATAAAGTACAAGTGGAAATATTGATTTGTATCCACAAATAAAAATTTGATTATGACTTAACCCTACGCACAAAATTGTGATCTGATTCTTTTGCTGATATTAGGGAATTGGGAGAAGATCAGCACCAGCTTGAACAAAGACACAGGAATAATATTGAAGCTTGGAAGGGAGAGGAGCTATTGCTGTTAGTGCTAGAAGCAGTGAGAAGGAACATTCAAGTCATGAAGTTCAGGATCCTGAAATTTGAAAGATATTGGGAAGGGAGAGGAACAAGGAAGAGGAAGAGGAAGCAGAAGCTTTTGGCTTTCTCCTATTACCCACCTTGAGGACAAGGTGGATGTTTAGGAGGGGTGTATGGATAGGGACCTACCTATTAGAATAATATTAGAAGTAATAATAATAATATTAGTAATAAGGGTCTCTAGTATAAATAGATGTAAAGTGGGAGTAATGAGGAGGCTTTTGGACTGTTTGTCTTGGGACTTGGGAAGGCTGAGACTAATAATCTCTTTCTTTGGGAGCTTCGGCTTTTGGGGGCTTCGGCCATCGTTTTCTGTACTGTTCATCTTCTTCTCTAATAAAATCAGTTTGATTTCTTGTTCTCTTTCTGTAATTTGTTGTGGAATTCTGGAGGTTTCTATCAGATTCAGGCCACATAATGGCATATCAAGATTTTTGCATACGAAAAGACTAGCAGTTTGAAATGCAAATAACATTGTAATTAAAAAAGTGTAAATCTTCCTAAAGCAATACATATGACATAGGATTTAGGCCTGGATATAAAAGTTGCTGTTTAAAAATGAAAATAACCTTGTACTCCTAGATCTCACTATGTTTTACTCTTACTGGGATTTCTTTAGGTCACAGTATCCGTAGCTTCAGTTAAGAGTGTTTTTTATCTTAATGTGAAATAAAAAACCATATAAGAGTTGAGTCCATTTTTATTGTGGAGAGTTTAACAATTCACACATCAGGACAATAGAACAGTTCAACAAATATCAGTTCATTTCAGTACTTTAACCCGAGAATCCGCTCAAATGTTTAACAAACTCAAGTAGCTTTATCTTCAAATTTTTCCCTTCTAAACAAGTGACAACTGCTAAGAATTTTCCTGGTCCGGCTATACATATTGGTCACTAAACAGATTCTCTAAATTCTTTGATCTTTTATGATTTTATCTAAGAGAAAAAAAACCATCTATTTTAATCTAAGACCAACTTATTAGAATACTACTGCTGTTTGCATAGAGATGTTTTCCCCCTAATTTGTACATATGAATAAGAAAACCAGTGACTAAAATGTGAATGTGAATGTGAAAATGAAAGAAATGGGGCATGCTTTGTGTTAAATTTTCATTCATGAGTGCAGTTTTTTAGGAAGATAAAAAAATTCCATAAAAATGCAATTCAGTTCAAACAGTTTGTTTGAATGAATGCTAAAATGTTTAAAAACTGAAGTAATTTTTCTAAAAAAGGAGTTGTCTGTTTGTTTATGGGGTAATTTGAGTTTGCACCCCATATTATTGTCCAAATTGAACTTTGCACCCCGTTTTTAAAAATCTTTGTTTTTGCACCCTAACCCCGTATGAAAATACAAAAATGCCCCTCAATCAGGAATATGTTGAAGGCCAACTGAATTGTTGATGGAGGGGCATTTTTGTCTTTTCATACGGGGTACAAAGTCCAATTTGGACAATAATATGGGGTGCAAACTCAAATTATTCCTTGTTTTAATCACAAGTACCTACATAAGGAATCTCCTTAAAGAGAAACCGCGCTAGTTACTATTTCTTAAAAACTTGAATTAGTTGGAACAATTATAACATTTTTTGTGTTCTTCTTTTAAAGACATTTTGATGTTTATTTCGCTGGTGTTTATTTGATGTCTAAGTTGAAAGTAATATGTTTCCTATAATACAACAACAACATCCAAGCCTTAGTCTCCAAAAAATGATTAAGTTGTCTAAGTTGGGCACTATTCGCATGTAGTGCGCACACCGCTAGTTAGTACTAATAATTAAATTGTACATACTCTTAAACTGCAGTAAAAAATGTATTGATCCCCATAAAATGAAAGTTAAAATGATAACTATGTACTCCTATTAAAAAAATTACTACTCTAACAGGGACAGAGTGAGTATGTGACATGTTCAGCTGATGTTCTTAAAAAATGGGACTACTCTAACAAAAGTTAGTAATTTTTGTGTGGCATGAGTGCGACAAGTTGAGGGGAGAGTGTAAGAGATAGTCCAGAACAGAAAATGAATTATAGAATGCTATAGGGTGATGTCACTGCAAAAACAAAAACAAAAAAACAAACAAAGACGAAGAAGATTACCTACCAATGCTACTGCATTTCCCAAAATTGGGCAAGAGATCCATGCCCTTAAGAAAAGTGTACGCTCCGGCAACAAGCCTCATATCATCCGCATTCAAGCAGGTATCCAAAACCTCCCAATTGCGCTCCTGCCGAGCGGCCCTTGCCCAATCCAGCTCGCTCCGATACCGGCCAGACTCTATCCAAGACTCCTCCTTTGGTTGAACAGGAATACTCTTTAGGAACCGAAGAGCTCTGGTTAGGTCCTTATCCTTCAAAGCTTGGTCATAATCTTTCCAGTCCTTCAGAGCACCGGTTCTATTCATACGCTGACTCGTTTTCAGGTGATGTGGCCGATTTGTAAACGGCACAGAGCAGGCGAGAGAATTCCGGACAGGGATTCCGCTAAACACCAAGATTTCAGAGTAGTGCGCAGAAAAAGAATTAGAGGTAAGGACCATTGTAACCATTGTTCATCTCTCACACTCTCTCCCGTGGCGGTACCGGAAAGTTTCTAACTATCAGGTATACCATTACCTTACCGACCGTAAGTGGGGGATAGGCCAAATGACCAAATTGGCACACACAAAAAAGCTGTTGAACAGGTTGGTAAAAAAAAATTGAAACAAATTGGTAAAAAAAAGTTGACAAATTGGTCAATTTTTTTAGGGTGATAAACTTTTGATCCTCGACTTTAGAATTCCCGACATTTCATATTATAAGTATTCTGAAATTGACATTTGCAATCTTTTTACTTTGATTTTGTTATCAAAAGTGGAAGTCTAAAAATGTCAACGACCGTGTTTGATAATAGCGGTTGTCTGCTAGCTTATAGCCGGTTGAATCAACATATTGATAATAGTGGATTCCGTGAGCTTTTATAACTAACCGTTTTCTTTAGCGTTGGAAATAAAGTGTTAGTAACTTAACTATTTGCGATTAAATGTTAAGACGTAAAATAACCATTAAAAATATGAATTTAAAAGTATATATATTTATCTTAACTTTATTTCTTTTATTTTTAATAAGTTTTTCAAAAGGTTTTAAAAAATTTATTTGCATTTATTTTAAATTAACATGGAGTAGATTTAAAAAAAAACTAATAAATAGTCATATGGAGTAGATTTTTTAAATGGAGTAGATTTAAATGAACTAATAAATAGTCATATTTAAAATACTAATACTAAAAATATATGAATTTATATTTGTGTACTCGCATCAATGTACATATCTTAAAAATGACTGTGTTATTAATTATTTAAAATAAACGTAAACATATTTTTTAAAACTTTTTCCAAGACATATTAAAAATAAAAAGAAATAAAATTAATTTAAATACATAAACTTTTAAATTCATTTTTAACGGTCATTTTACGTTTGAAAAGCTAATTGCAAATTTTATGTTACTTACATTGTATTTCAAAACGCTAATGAAAGCAATTAGTTATTGCAAATTAACGGAATCCGCTAATATCAATCTGTTGATACAACCGGCTATGAGCTAGCAAACAACCGTTATTATCAAACACGATCGTTGACATTTTTAGGCCCCACTTTTGATAACAAAATCAAAGTAAAAGGACTGCAAATGTCAATTTCACAATACTTAGAATATGAAATGTCGGAAATTCTAAAGTCGAGGATCAAAAGTTTATCAATCTCAAAAAATTGACCAATTTGTCACTAGGTCTTTTTTTTTAAAAAAAAATTGTCTCGAATTGTTTTTTACCAATCTGTCCAACATCCTTTTTTTTTACCAATTTGGTAATTTGGCCTAAGTGGATAGTGTATGGTATGTTGCCTAGTCGTATTTGTAATTTGTCATAAGTTTCCAATTTTTTCTAATTATTTGATGGGAAAAGTACGAAAAAGTTATTTGTGGTTGGACTCATTTTCAGATAGAGTCATGTGTTAAATACAGTGAAAATCGTGAGGCCGACGTCTCTAGGGTTTTCCCTAGCTAGTTTTTACCGGCGGTGGAGGCGACTCAGCCTGCTCGTTCGGATTTTTCTTCCGGCTTTGGTTATTTGGGAACTTGCTGAGGACGGGGTAACTTTCCCTTATATCCTTCGGATAAAATCAGTGCTTGAAGGCGGCGTCTTCCCTGGCAAGGCGGTGATTCGGGCTTGTAGTTCAGCGCGGTAGGAGAGGGTGCGATGAGCATACTCAGCTGGAACGGTAAGGGCCTTAACAATCCCGCGACAATACAATGTTTGACGGACCTCGTCAGCCAATACCGACCGACGATCATCTTCCTTATGGAGACGAAGGTCTGGTGCTTGCGGGCAAAGGAAATACAACGGTCGAAGGGTTTCTCCAATTCGGAAGGGACGGATAGTGCAGGCCGGAGTGGAGGGTTAATCATGGGATGGAATGATGATGTGGAAGTGGAGGTCAGAAAGAACGGAACAAATTTCATTGATGGCAGGGTAACCTTGTTGGGCAACGATGACCCCTGGAGACTAACAGGTTTCTACGGCTTCCCCAAGATAGTTCGACGTCAGGATGCTTGGAGAATGATGGAAGAATTGGCCGAGGGTAACGATGGTCCTTGGATGATGATTGGAGATTTCAATGATGTTATGTTTGATTCAGAAAAGAAAGGCAATATCCCACAACCCCTCTGGAGGATTCGGGGCTTTAGAGGGGCAGTGAATAGCTTTGGTCTGAGAGATTTTCCTTTTTCGGGTTACCAATGAACCTGGGATAACGGAAAAGATTCAGCTTGCTGGGTGAAGGAGAAGCTAGATCGCATTCTGGTCAATGATGCCTGGTGGGAATTATATATAGAAGCTCAAGCTGTGTTAGTGGAGGCGCCTGCAAGTGACCATATGGCGCTTCATGTGCAGGTAAAATATACTGCTCCAAACCGTAGGAGAACATTCTTTAAATTTGAGAATAACTGGATCAAGGAGTAGGAATGTAGGTTGATCGTTACTAATAGTTTGGGAGCAACTAGTCGGATGTTAATCAATGAGAGGATCGGCTTTTGTGCTACTGAACTGACCAGATGGGATCGAGGGAGGAAACGAGGTTTTAGGCACCAAATTATGGCGTGCAAATCCAGATTGGCCTGGCTAAGGGGGAAGGATGACCGTGCAAGTATTCTTGAATTTTGACATGCCCATTCAGTTTTGCAGGTCTTACTTGAAAAAGAAAATCAATTCTGGAAGCAACGGGCTAAGGAGTCTGGTTGAAAAAGGGAGACATTAATTCCTGATTTTTTCACAACGCTGTTAAACAAAGGCGACGACGAAATAAAATGGCAGGACTGCGGCGACCGGATGGTACGTGGATGTCTAACCGGGGAGAACTCGGTGAGGCAGTTTTGGAATATTTCTCAGCTTTGTTTCAAGAACAGGAGAGGTCTCAACTGTAACACCCCGACCCCCCAGGACCCGAGGTAGTTACTACAGACCTCTAGTACTGTCCTCACAAACCGCCACTAGCCTTTTCCGCGCACTTTGTCCTCACTCGTGCGCGCCCTGAGAAACTTCCCAGGGGGTCACCCATCCCAAGACTACTCCCGTGCAAGCACGCTGAACTTTGGAGTTCTTGGTGATGAGCTCCCTTAAAAGGAGATGCACCTTGTTGGTATAAGTAGTACTATTAATCAATTTATATTAAATCTCAAGTGTTACAATCACCCCCACTTAGAATCACAACGTCCTCGTTGCGCCCTTAAACCAATCTCAATCACACCCCAGAATCTTTTCCCCTGCTAAGTGCCCGCCCGATATCCAACGGATCAGCACACTGTCGCAGGGTTGCTCTGATACCACCTGTAACACCCCGACCCCCCAGGACCCGAGGTAGTTACTCCAGACCTTTATACTGTCCTCACAAACCGCCACTAGCCTTTTCCGCGCACTTTGTCCTCACTCGTGCGCGCCCTGAGAAACTTCCCAGGGGGTCACCCATCCCAAGACTACTCCCGTGCAAGCACGCTGAAGTTTGGAGTTCTTGGTGATGAGCTCCCTTAAAAGGAGATGCACCTTGTTGGTATAAGTAGTACTATTAATCCATTTATATTAAATCTCAAGTGTTACATCAACCACTTGTCATCCGTGGAGAATTTCGAAAGGTGTCCGCGGAACAGAACGCTTCACTTTTACGGGCAATCAGCCCGAAGGAGGTCAGGCGGGTTGTGTTTGATATGCACCCGGAGAAGGCTCCAGGCTCAGACGGGATGAACCCCGTCTTCTTTCACGCTTATTAGGAGGTGCTAGGACCAGATATTTCGGCTCTGTGTGCGTCAATGTTTGAGTCTGGGTAATCTGGCTGATCATATTAATACAACAAATATTGTGCTTATTCCTAAGGTGGAAAAACCAGAGAGCACGGGGGACTGGAGGCCAATTGCGCTCTGTAATGTAGTATATAAGCTCTTCTCAAAAATTCTGGCTAATAGGCTAAAAGGTATGTTGGATAGCCTAGTTGGGGAATGTCAGAGTGCTTTTGTGTCTGATAGGTCAATTATTGATAATATAATTGTGGTTTTTGAGACAAATCATTTTTTAGAAGGAAGACCAGTGGAAAAGAGGGTTTTGTGGCGCTCAAACTTGATATGAGCAAAGCATATGACAGGGTGAGTTGGTCTTTTTTGGAGGATATTTTAAACATGATGGGTTTTAGTGAAAGATGGGTCCAGATAATCATGATGTGTGTACAGTCTGTCAGATATTATGTCCAGTTTAATGGGGACCTTTTGGGGCCGATTATGCCAAGCAGGGGCTCCGTCAGGGGGATCCTTTGTCTCCTTATCTGTTTATATTAGTGGCGGAGGGCTTGAGTGCTTTGATTAGCAGGGCCGAACGTAGGGGGGGGGACTTACACGAGGTGGCGGTTTGTAGGGAGGCACCAAGGGTTTCCCACCTATTTTTTGCAGATGACATTTCTTGTTTCTTAAAGCTTTGGGACGAGAATGTGAGGCTGTGAAGAATATCCTAGCCGAATATGAGGCTGCTTCGGGCCAGGAAATAAACTTTTGGAAGTCTTTGGGCACGTTCATTCAAAATGTGGCCGAGACTTTTAAAAGTTATTGTTGCAATTTTTTTGGTATTCTGCAGGAAGGAGGTCAACAAAAGTACTTGGGTTTACCTAGTCTGGTGGGGCAGAATAAAACAACTATATTGTTTTTTATCAGGGACAGGGTACTAAATCGTATAAAAAGCTGGAACAATCGCTTTTTGTCCAGACCAGGAAGAGTCACTAGTGGAAAAAAGACATTCTATGTCGGTTAAAATAGGCTTTCTATAACGGTTGGGGAACCGACATAGTATCAAGGGATATAGAAAGTCGGAGGGTATCCATAACGGGTAGGTTGAACTGACACGGAAGGTTTTTATATCGGTTCGAAATACAACCGTTATAGAAAGCCTGCTTATGACATTACACTTTTACATCAGTCTTTTCACAACCGATATAAAAAGTCACTAAAATTTTCCAAAAAAAAATTACCAGCATATAAAAAGTTCAAATCCGATTAAAAACAACTAATTAATATATAATTTCTCCATAAAACATTATTGCATGTGCATTATCTATATCT